GCCATAACAAAATTGAATTGAGTCTAAAAAGAATTTAGAGTCGGGCTCGAGCCGGGCGGTCCAGGAAAGACTACCACCCGGGCCGGGTCGGGCCAACCGATTCGCATGATGGGTCGGGCAGGCCTCGACTTTTCTTGGCCCGGCTTGTTCCGGGCGGGCCATCAAAAATTCACCCGATTAGGAGCTCTGATAGATATATATATATATATCGTATTACAGGATTTTTCTTCAGTTTATACAAAAAACGATTTGTGATAGTACGTTTTTCTTCTTATAAAAATAAAAGTGAAAAACAAAACAACATTCAAACAACGTGGTGAGTGATTTTAGTGTAGCGCTCTGATTCTTTGTAGATCGGGATTTTCGCTTTGGACTCAGTACTTTTCCGCCTTCGCCTACTGCGGAGAGACGGAGTATCTGTTTTCTGAGTCTCTAGCGACAGACAGCTTACACAGCCATGTTTGATACAGCACTTGGACTGATGGGATTTGTTCATTTACTCTCTTATCAGTACAGTGTGATAATAATGTGTCTTTTATCGACGTTCTACTTGATATACGTGTACGATGTTGAGACAAATTTAATTCATAATCTAACAGATGAACTGTTTACGCCAAATCCACTCGAGTTAATTTGGAATGCTCGGTTACGTATTGCTAGCATCTGAAATGATAAATCAAGACAAATTATTAGAAAAGCTACAACTGACATTGGTCATCAATCGTCAAGTAATTCTTGATCATGTTTTTTTAATTTTGAATATTGGTTAAATTTTAATCAAAACTGTGGTGGATTGACTATAACCGATAATAGAACTAGCAATGATCCATTTTTTTAAACTATCGGATGTAGGAAGTGATTCAGAAAATGTAAAATCATTTCCACTTGTTGAATTTATCATTACGAATAAATATATTCGGAAATCAAAATGGATTTGCATAATTACTAGTGAAAATATTTGCAAATGTAAAACAGTTTTAGTTAGAAACATGCACTAGGAAATATTCATATTCTATTAATGTTATAGTAGATAATTGAATAAATTTACAACATTTAATTGTACGTGTTTGGTTGTGTTGTGGAAGTAAACATCAGTGGTATGATTTAAAACAGTTGTACATCGATGATGATATTCCTGATAAAATTGTAACCAAATTACCAAAACTATTGTCAATTGATTTCGAAGATCATCTAGAGTTTTCTGACACTTGCTTAAAAATTTTGAACAATAATAAAAATCTAAGAAATATTCTATTGAAAGATAGTGGCATTGCTGGGCACATAATCACTGATGAATCACATAAACAACCAATAATTCATTTTAGTGAAAATGCTTTGATTGAATATGCTAAACGTCATCCATTATTAGAACAATTAGAAATGAATGTTTGTCAGTCAATAATGCTCTCAACACAGTTTCTCACTAAATTTATTAAACATTGTCCAAATTAAATATTTTTAAACTATATGTTGTTGAAAAAGATTTATTATTATTGATAAATAATAAATTAAAAGCCTGTTGTTTGCAATTAGAAACCTTTTATGTGCGAAGATAGGAGAAGTAAAAACGAACCATTTTATTAACACTGAAAAACTTGTAGACAAAAACGTGATTTTTCAGGGATGAGAAAAACGAGCATCAACTAAGCCGCTCTTGACAAAATAATTGTAGTTAAAAGCATAGCCGTCAAAAAACGAATTGTTTGTGCGCTGAACTGCAGCGATGGGTACTTGCGGTCTATATGTTGTGGAGAAAGTACAGAATTAGCGAATCTGTAGAATCGCTAGTGAATCTATAGAATCGCTAGTGAATCTATAGAATCGCTAGTGAATCTATAGAATCGCTAGTGAATCTATAGAATCGCT